GTGTATCAGTTCAAAAAAAATTTGCATTTTTTTTTTTTTTTTTTTTTTTATAAATCCTACTTTAAAAAAAAATACCAGGTGATTCTGCGCTGAAGGTCCTTATTCAGGTAGTTCCAGTTGCGGAGTTCCAGTAGTTCCGGTTCTGTTCCTGCCTACAAGTTGCTCTTCTGCATTGTCGCCCTGTCACAAAACTACAGGCATTGCGCAGACATGTACTGCTGTTGTCACCATCAGGAAGCCCACACCTGAGCAAAGACATGCAGCTGCTACTGGAACAAATGCATGTAGACAGGAAGTGGTTGCAAGCTGCGGGAGATCAACATGGTTAAATGCAAACATGATGTATAGGATTAGGATAGTGCTTCAGGAAGCTAAATGTCATCCACTGAGGGTTTACATATACCTTGAAAAAAACTATATCCACTATTTCTCATTGGGGTAAAAATGTAGGGAAATTACTCAAAAATGACTAATAGATTCTGTTTATAGATGTCAAATCTGAATACTTTGTTTCCAGTCAGGTTGTACGATGTGATATAACTTTGCATTGGGTACAGGTTATACTGACAATGTTTTGCCCCCATACAGACCTATCTGCTCGCGTCGATGCTGTTAAAGAGGAAAACCTGAAGCTCAAGTCAGAAAACCAGGTTCTTGGACAGTATATTGAGAACCTCATGTCGGCCTCCAGTGTCTTCCAAACAACAGACACCAAGAGCAAGCGGAAGTAGTGCATTTTCCCTTCACTGGTTTAACTTGTACAGTACTCGAGTAGCATATGTGGGTCCAGTTAGTATAGAATGTGCATTCACCCAGACACTACTTGTGTAGACTGATTCTATGTATAGTGACTGCACAAACAATACTATGATAATAAAATGGCATCACCATTTTTTTAAATGTATTAACAACAATAATGTAAGGTGCCCAAAGGTCCACACATCAGCATGCAGTTTTCACGTTTCACAAATCATTGTCCCATAAAGTGGGTCAGTCTAAAATCAAGGCTTTACCCCAGTATCCCTGTAATAAAATTGGGTCGGGTAAAAAAATAACCTTTTTTTTTTTTTTTTTTAAAGGGAGCTTTTTGCTGATTTGTAAAACTCTAATGTGGATGCTGAATGTTTCCTTTTTTGTTTGTGCCAGAAACAAAATGACCTATAGTAAGTGGATCTTGGTGTATTCAACAATGACCTAACTTATCTGTTTTGTTTTAGATGGTATATGTGCAATATTGACAACCGTTCAGTCTAAAAAAGATCATTGTGCTAGTTCTGATGCATATTATCCCATGCGTTCTAAACATGGCCAGCTTGTATGGTAAGGCATGGATTTTCTATGCGGCCATCTCACAAATTCCTGGTAGCGCTTGGCTAGTTTGTAAAAACCCTTTACCAAGAGAAATGTAGAAGCTGCCATTGCCAAGTTCTTCTTAAATGTTATTTACCTGGCTGTCATGCTGACCCTCTCTCCCATATTTTGTGTCTGACTGGAACAAGTAGGTAAGGCTTTTTCTAACCCACTAGGTTCAATACGTTGAGCCACGGGTGTGGAACGAGCAGTCAGCTGCCTGACTTTCCAAATCTGAGGAAGAGGTCAATAATGACCGCTTGCTTTTTTTCCCAGCTATGACAGGTTTACTTTGAATGAAGTCTCAAATTTTCAGGAGCTCATAAAGGTCATACTTTTTAGTTACCATGCACTTTACATAGATCATATAAGGTACAATAAATGTTTTCTGAAGAATTATGAATTAAATTCAAGTTGGTGTAGACTTAGTAAGTTTCCTAGAGCTGGGCTCCATTTGAGTATGTGTAAGCCTTACGGGAACCAATGAAAGCCTTAGCTAAGTGGCCCTACCCCAGTCAGCATTTGGTTGTATGTGTGTAACTTTCCTGCAGTAGATAACAGATGATATATCACCCTTTTTTAATTATACACATCAGGATCATGAAATGGCCTTTCTCATCATGCAGCAGGTAAACCTTACTATGAATCGCCGAGGCACATTTTCTGGTAGGTATCTTTTTCAATGAATTAGAAATAATTTGGCTTCCACATTCGAGATTTACAAGTTTTGTAAACAGAGTTCATAACATCCCACTTAGGCCTGGTTCACACCTGGGCGTTTTACAGCGCGTCCCTACGCTCTGTAAAACGCTCAACATGGGAAAACCAATGATTGCCTATGGGCATGGTTCCCACCTGGGCGTTTTACAGCGCGTAAGGACACGCTGCAAAACGCCCTATGCCCAAAGAAGTACAGGAGCTTCTTTGGGGCGTATTTGGCGCGCTTATCCATTGGGATACAGCCAGGTAGCCCTCTGAAACGCGCGACAAACGCGCATATTCGATACGCCTAGGTGTGAACCCAGCCTTACAGGATAGGAATGAAAACCTACCCCTGTGATTTCAATAGTGAGATTTAAAATGGCAAATCCCATCTAGTTGTCTCTACCTGAAGAATCTGATTTTAGTATAGGTATGGTAAAACATATAATGGTCATTGGCTACCAGATCAGTTTTACCCTCCAGGCATCTTGTCTAGCTTTAAATTTCTTTCTTAATAGTGTTCTGCAATCCCTTTTAAATTATTTAATGACACCATTCTAGGGTTAGGCTGCTTGGTTTGTATCATGTGAAAGCAATGCTGCCTTGTAAGATCAAAACAGTATTCACTGTAACATATTGTCGTGTATATTTTGTTTTATTTTAACAATTTCTTTTTTATTTTGTGTCAAAATATGTTTGTTTGTTTACCAAGCACCAAGGATGGTGTTAGATATTTGCACCTAACAAGATTTTAAATGCTAGGCAATGAGCATGTAATCAGCAGGTCCTTGTCTTTGCCAGGTCTGTCTTTTGAAAAGTGTCACTTCAGTGTATAAGAAATGCCAGGCAGTAGGAAGTGGTGACAGCACATTATTTTGCTGTTTTTTTTTTTTTTTTCTTCTTCTTCTCTCATTCCCTTGCATTATGTAGAGAAGAAACCTGCTTGTTATATTTATACCTGACAGTTAAATGCCAACATAAGTGAATGTCTTGTTTATAACAGGAGCCATAGTTCCTACAGTGCCAATCATGGCTGGGCATTTCCTTGAGGAGCACACTTTTTAAAGTGGCATATGTATAGAAAACAATAAGTAAAGGATCTTGACAAGATGTAACTCAGTAATTACTATACTGACAAGTTTACATCCTTAGTTATTCTAATTCATTCTGAAATAAAGTGTTTTTTATTTATTCCATCCCTGTGTTTTACTGTCTTTATTCATTCTGAGGAGTTTGGGGGAATTTGCTGCATATTCTGGAACCTTTGTGTCATACCTTCCCATAAAGTTAAACTCCTAGAAAATATTAAAAGAAAAAGTTATGTATTCATTATAAAGTTATTAAATGTATTTTTCAAGTTCAGTTAGTGTTAGCATCTGCCATAATATTTGGCATGTTAGCATTGTATGTGGATTAGAACTCTGGAGGAGGAAGGTTAAGTATTCTGAGAAATGCAGGCGCTGCTTTATGCACATGCAGTCAGGAGCCGAAAGATGACATCAGTCTGCATTTGCTGCTCCTCTATTGTCCAATCGCAAGCTGGGGATATGGTGGTGGCCAAGTTCTCCTTCCACTTTAAGGGGGTAAAAAAAAAA